TCCTGCGAGGAGTTTGCACCCATCCTGATCAACTATCCCAGCATGACCTGGGCAGATAAAATGCCAAGTTCATTGTCACCTCTGTCACTCCCTCCTTGTCAGGGTCTTTTGCCTTCCCAGAATATTCCCAAGTCCTCAGTTCCTCTCCTGGTTTCCCTTTAGTTCTCTTCTACCCCTTTCCTTTTTAGGGAGCATCTGTCCAAGACAGGGCTCATTTTTGCACTTATCTCGAATTTAAAGAGATTGCTGACGCCCGAGAGCCTCGCTTTTTCATTCTTCTTTCCCTGATCAGCAGGCTAGACAGAAACATGTATTGACTGACTGTTGTTCACAAATCTCCAGTATTTTTTCCACTTCATTTTTAAGAAAGAAGTAACGGATACATGTTGCTCTTTCACCTGGGTGTCTGGGCTCATGCTCAGCCTCACTCCTTTGTCCTTCCTCCTGCCCTCCTCAGCTGTCCAAAGTGGGCAGGGGGTTGGCCTCATTGTCTCTCCTGTGCATGCTCTGCAGGATTGAGGTGTAGTGTGTTCATGTAGATCTAGAGTCCCCAGCCGAGTGAATGAGAGAGTACTTGTGTGTTTCAAAACAGCCATGATCCCTTGATAGGTATTTGGATATTTTTTGGTGTGCCGTGTGTGTACGTGAACAAATACATGTGTATATTCCTTTTAAATAAGCTTTATTGAATGTGTCCTGATTTTGAGGTATAGCAATAGCTACTATAGTAGGTGCCGCTACAGTTTTTATTTAGCATGGGATTGCAGAGTGACCAGCACACTGGACTCCAAGGTGGTTCAGACAAGACAGAGGGGAGCAGTGACCATCCTCGTGCCAGGAGCTCCTTCAGTCCTGCACATATAGACTCTATGAAGAATACAAAGAGGAAGACTTGTGACTGTCACTTGCTTTTTTGCTGTTTCTGCGCTTTCATACAAGTGTTGAAAAACGAGACTTTCTCCTGGCCCCTGCCCACTGGCAATCGGTATGGTTGTCCCTCCAGTCTAAACCATCCATCTTTCTCTTGCCTGAGCGGGAAGGGAGGTGGGCCAGGCAGAGGACAGAACTGGAGGCAGTCCATCTAGGAAATGGGACCAGGAGGCCACACTTGTGGAACATTTGGACTGCTATTCTGGAGCTTTTATTTCTGGTGTGTTCGTTGCACAGCTGTTTGAAATGTTTAATAAAGCTTTATAAACTTTACTTTGTGGTTTTATGTGGCTGCAGTCCATTTAGGTCATGGTGTTGGATTTCTAAGTTGGTGGGGGGCAGAAGGTAGCATGGAGGGGCTGAGTCCTTGGCGCCAGGGTACCTTAGCCTGAAAATTTGATCTGCTCTCTGGAGAGCAGATGGTGGGTTTGGGAGAGGGAGAGCAGGGGGCAGGCCAGGCAGTGAACAAGAGGGAGTCTGAAAGTTTTCAGAGATGAGACATTTGCGTTTCTCAGCTCCCATGGCTTCTCGCCTGAAACTGTTTCCCTCCTTAGGAGATTTGAGTAACTGATCCCTTGACAAACAACTTAAGACAGCTGGAGCTCTAATCATCAAGGATTTTTATGGTGCTGTTTTTGAAGTAAAAATAAAGTGAAACCCCTTATGGCATCTGAAGTGGAAAAATAAATAAGTCTGGCCATTCAACTAGGGGGCGTAAGGCTTAAGGCAATGATTAGAAGCCCTTCAGTGATGCAGTTCAGTGTCATCGATGTGCATGTGCTCCCATGGCTGTGACCTTTGAGACAAACAGGGTAGCTTGTCAAAGCCCTTGTGCTGGGTGTCCACCTCTTTATCTCTTCTAGAAAACATAATAGGAGCACTACCTGTCCAAGGCACAGAGCTGTTGGGAGGGTTTATTGAGGTAACACTTGTGAAAGGTCTTTGGTAATTTCATAGTTTACCTGTTTACCTAGATTTTTAATTTCTTGCTATAGTTTTATGTAATTTTCTCCTGTCTTTTTAAAATCTCTCTGTTGTCAGTTTTTCATTTTTTCACTCTAGTGTTATTAGTGATTTCTCCTGATCAAAACTTGCCAAAGATTTGTCCATTTTAAAGGTATTTTCAAAGAACCAAACTTGTATTGATTATATCTGCTGAGTATTTTTCCTATCTGATTCTCCAATGCTTTTATCTTTTAATTCTTCTCTTCTGGGTTTCTGGGTATATTTCCTGGTTCAGCAAAGTCTTAAGCTGAGGAGTCACGCATGTGGAAAGGATGGTTTGTTCAGCAAACATTGAACCCCTGTTCTCTGCTTGCTGGGGATTTCAGGGGCAAGATCTAGGCCTGACTCTACAAGACCACATGATTCTAGCCTAGTGAGAAGACTTAAGAAAATAGACAATTGCGAATTCCAAAAACAAAACAAACAAAAAAGGCTTTTGTGGCCCCACTCTCCTGTGGAGGCACCTGGATGATAAAGGAAACCAAGATTATTGCTTATTTTGCTCTCCCTCAGAAACCAGCTTTCTGTCGAAGGTCAAGCCTGCTTGAGAGTCACAAACAGGCCTCCCTCTGAAAGATTTCTGACCCTTTACAGCAGGGTTCCTGCAGCCCACCCCTTCCCAAGGTGACTGCCAAATCATTCTTTCCGCCTTACCAAGGCAGCACCAGCAGTACCCTGCCCCCTCTTCCTGAAACATTTTTCAGTCAAGTGTAAAGTAGATACTTCTGGAAAAGAGCAGGAACATGCTCTGCAATTCTGCTGGTCTCTGAGCTCCTAGTGTAACATGGTAATTGCAAGACCCCAAGAGGCTTAGGTCTAGGCTTCTTTAGGAACTAGTCTGTGTCCTGCTTTGGGCCTCAGTTTCCTTATAGGTGAAATAAGTTATCTTAGGGTCCTCCTGGATACATTTGAGTTAGGTGGCAGTGCCCTTGTAGGACAGCCTGTGAATGCTTTATGCTTTAGTCCGTGTACCATGTGAGCGCAGCTATGCCTTTGTCAGGAAGCCTTCCTGAACTTCATCCTTCTCCCTGGAGATCCGCTTGTCTAGAGCACTTTACTCAGCCTCCTGTTTAGTGCTAGTGTCAGTGCTAGGCAACTTCCTCTTCTATAGTTGTTGGGATCCTATCTCCCAAGGGGGCCTGAATTTTTATTCAGTCAGCAGGTCCTTGTCAGAATCCCATGCAGGAATAGGCCTTTGGGCCACATAGTAGACAAGATGGACAGTCCATGCCACCATGGAGTCAACCAGGCCAATGGGAAAGGGAATGACATTGGACAGATAATTGTATATATATGTACCATAGATTGTGGCAAGTGCCATATAGGAGAAGTCTGAGAGGGGAATCTGATGTAGACTGAGGAGGATTGCTGTTCAAGCTGACACCTGAGAACAAGTATAAATGTTTGAACAGTGAAATAATAAATGTGATGTTCTTTCCCACCATTTGATCAAGCATCTCTGTGCTTACATATAAAGAGACTGGGCTGAAAGTAAAATGAAAGACCACCAGTACTTGGCTACTCTAGTCAGAACTCCAAAAGGACTTTTGGCTTAGAGATTAGTCTATTTAAAGCTAGAGGGTTCTGTTGGGATGTGTTGGGGGCTAAGACTGACGTGGTGGTGGCAGATCCCAAAACTCAGTCCCAAGAACTCTTGTTTCCAGGTGACTGGAACCATCACAAACAAGGATCTGATGGGAATAAGGGGTAACCCAATCAGAACAGCATTCAAGGTTGGATTCTTTCAGTAGGGAACAGGATAGCATTTGAGTAATGAAAACAGCAGGGCTGTCAAGAAGGTCATTGCCCTGGGGAGAAGTAGCTCTAAGGCTTGATGGTGGGTGAGGTGCAGAAGGCTGGAGAAGGTAGTCTAGAGAAGGAGGACGACCGAAAAAGATGATGGAAAGCTGACTCCCATTGAATAGCTGCAGGAAAGGAGGTCAGAGAAGGATTGTTAGAACCCAGTCTGCTGGCATCCAGTGGAGAGCTCATCCCTCATTCCCCACCCCCTCCATAATGGGTGAAAGAGTCACTATTCTGAGAAGAGGGAACAACTAAGATGTGCTCACCTCAACAAGTGATAGAAGCTGATCCTGACTATGGGGGGCTTATCTGATCTCAGCCCAGCACCCTCCCTTCCCAGTGTCTTCCTGAAAGCCAGAGGAGGGAAAGCCAGAGGAGAGGCAGAATTTGGTCTATCAGGCTTCTGAGAATTCCATATCTTGAGAAAAACTGATTATAGAGTGGGCTCAAGGTGAAGGGAGGAAGCTGGCTAAGCAGCAGCTAGAGGCTTCGGACAGAAGTCCTTGGTCTCCCTTTGGGCTATCGGGACTCAGTGGGTCGGTGTGAACTTGGGAAATAGTTTAGGATGGATGAACCTTGAGAGGAGAGGTCTCTGGGAGTCCTAGGCCCTATGCCAGGGGTCCTCAAACTTTTTAAACGGGGCCAGTTCACTGTCCCTCAGACCGTTGGAGGGCCGGACTATAGTTTAAAAAAAAAAACTATGAACAAATTCCTATGCACACTGCACATATCTTATTTTGAAGTAAAAAAACAAAACGGGAACAAATACAATATTTGTATTTGCATGTGGCCCGCAGGCCGTAGTTTGAGGACCCCTGCCCTATGCCTTTGCCTTTGTGTCTGCGCCCCCCTGAGCCTCAGTTTCCTTACTTGTAACATGGGTCTCCTAGCATCCACCATAGCCTGGCTCAAGGTGAAGTT